GTCATCTTCGAGGTCAAACGTGCCAGAGTATTTGTCGTAGTCGAATTTGTACACACAGTGTAGTGGCTCGGTTACGGTCGCGTATCTGAACATCACAGTGCGGAATAGGGCGCTAGTCGGCAAAAATTTTTTTAGAAAGTTCCGTAAGCGTCAAAACAGTTGCAGGATGATTATTTCCTGAAAGGGCTTTGAGTTAGTGGACTCAAAGCTCTTCCAAAAGACGGCATGCCAAACAGAATAAGCAGAGCGTGCGTAAGAACCATGCACTTAGTATAGTTATAACTGGATTAAATACCCGATAGGGAATTTAATAAGTTGATGGACAAAAGGAAGGAAGAAATGTCCTTACCGTTGTAAAATGTGATTTCCGTCACGACTGTGCCTCGTGCAGTCCAGCCATAGACCGTGTTCGTGGATTGAATTATACTCACGGAGGTTGACCACCTAAATTTTATACCGTCATATTGTAAGAACTAGATAAAAGAATCCAGTTGTGATTATGATTTTCGATGATTTCGACCTTGAAAGCAATAACGTGTAATTCCTATCGCAGAGAGCGCTCCTTTCTCTGCACACTATGGAGCCCCATTCCATCATAGTATGGGGGATTGGCAGATTTCAAAAATGACAGACACTTCTAGGGTTCGAAATGAAGTAATCACGACATGCTCATTTTTTGAACTGATCGCTGACGAGTTGCGGCATTTTGGCTTCGTGTACTAAAAGGGGAGGACATGTTCTCACATCTCCTATGCGGTTCTTTTTTGGTGTTGTGACATCTAATCCTTTTGCTCCTCTGCGTCTCCTTCACAAGGCCAGACACCAGACACTAAGGCCCAAACTTTTGCCACAGGTTAAGTGGCTCACACACCCCCACCCCCTGAATTGGCCCCATTCCCCCTGGCTCACGCATTCTTACTTACTACCAGGTTCCCGCCACAAAAGGATTAGATGTCATACAACCTTCTTTTCCACTCTTGAAATCAGCCATGGGTCGAGAAACGCTTGGGAAGAGCATGTATGGTTTCTTGGAGGAACGGAGGGTGCACTGGTATCTGCAGTGCGATCTTCATTGCATTTTCGGAAGCATCATCTGAACATTTTTGGCTTACCTACAAATTTCCTCCGATCCTTTTGTATAAACTATCCAACAATTTGGGGGATTCTTATGGTAAGGTGCCAAAGCATTCGGGGGATTTCACTGTGACGGGAGAGCCTGTCTTCTACCTATGTGGGAATGGATACACAGGTTGTTGTTCATAATTTTTTCCACTGATAGTAGTCCGAAAAAAAGGACAAGGTAAAAGTTCAGAGGGCACGACCACGGTCACCAAAGAAGGAATCGAATCAATGCCTGTTGTTCCGCTGTAGCTGCCAATATACCGTTATCTTTATCCAGTCTGCAAAGCGCACAAAGTTGCTAGAGGTCACCAAACCAGATTCAACCAGTGAAAGTCAAGTGCCACGAGACATCGGAATGTTTCGTTTCAATGCCAAAACACGTGACTCTTCGATTGTAACTTCCGGAGGTATTGATTGCTTTGTGAAGAATTTTCAATTGGAAGCAATATTTCAAAATGTAATATTTTCACAAGAGGCAGTATAGAGTTCTTCTTTGATTCATCATTTTTTGGAAGTCATCAAAGATCTCAAAATCCAAGCAATCTGTAAACAGTCAACAGAAATCGGTCTCTCTTATAGAGTGTTTGTAAGGGGGCGATCGATAATCGAGTAATTCCAAAAATTTTCGTGTAGCGATCAGGTTTTTGAGTGGTTAGAAGGCGCGCGGTCGGCTTGGAAACGTGAAAATCGATCGGAGGTGGATGTGGAAATTTTTGATGGAGAAAAAGAAGTCCCAGGGCAGGATAATTTGCTTAATGGTGCCCCGTGACTTGTACTGACATCTAAATTTTCCCACCGTAAGCATTTCTGTGAGGATTTTTTCCTCAGTGAGTCGAATCAAATCCCAAGGCGCAAGAACCTATGCGAAAAACGATTTCACATGCAATTCACTCGAACCTCCGTTGGAAACTCATAAAACGATCGATCGTTTCTCACCTGCCAGCTGGGTGTCAGGATGGCGGCGATGCTCAGTCCCATGCCAATTACGGACAATATGATGGAGAACGTAAGCGAGCCCTTCCGGGCGAAATCCGCACCGGACGACATACGCCGCTGAAAATCAATAGAAATCAATAAACGACGTCGATAATGGGTCCATGCAATTTCATATAATGGGCAGAGCACGTCCTCACAATACCAGTTTCTACGAAAGAAAAGGTTCCTATTCGTGACAAATGGCTCAATAAAGGGACAATTTGAAAATCGATTGCGCTGGAAAAACAAACAATAATTCTCTAATAACTAACATTTCTCATGATGGAAGCCGCACAACGCTGTCGAGAGTAGTATATTCGAGTATAATTGTGAGGGGCCTCGAGCCGGGGGCGGCAAGTTACAGTAGTCGCCGCGCATTAGTCAGAGAGCAAATAGGCGCTGGACGCGCAGAGAGCGTCCTGGGGACGAGAAACACGGGGGTTCGCAGTAACGGTTAGAGTTCGGGCCATCTTGTGACCAATTTGGCATCCTATTCGATAATGTTCTTTCTCAGTTTGTTTCCCGCCGCTGCGCCGCATCGCCCTCCCCGTGAACGCCCTACAATAACAGTGCAGAGCAGCCATATGCGTGGCGCAGCTACACATTTCTAGAAATGTTCGAGTTCGAAGCATTGCTTTATCTAGTCCTGCTTCACACTTAGAGTCCAAGGGAGAGTACAAGAAAGATTTAGTGGTCCCTTTTTCGACTTTAGACATACATAGTTGTTGTGACGGGGGTCTTCATCAGCCGGCCTGTCAACCTGGGCCTGACGCTGGTACTAGAACCATTTTTGCAATTTTTGCAAGGCATGGTTTAGAGCCTCGGCAATTCTATGTTGCGACA